TTTGCCGCCTTGCTGGCTATGTTTACCAAAGTTGAAGAAGCAGGTCGCAACACTGTTCTTGGAGTACAGGCTATTCCAGACACGGACTTGAAGGTCAATAAGTTCTTATTGATATTATTCTTATTCAAAATTTTTTCTGGACCATGAAAGCCCATACGGCTCTTCTTCAAATTCTTTTTGTAGGGTCTCTTGTTGTAGGTAGCGACTTGCTCACAACGTTTCTTCAACCTCGGGTCGAAACCCGATCCTCTGCGTGGAAATGATATCAAAGAAGCTGCCATAACTGTCTTCTTTAGAGACTGGTAAGGTTACTGCGACTAAAAAAGACAATGTTGTACTTATGGGCGATACTTCCCAGGTATGCACCACTTCTGATGAATCGACTTGTTCGCGGAATTGCCATGCTTTGGTATATAATCTACCTTTATTTTGCATATTATGGAGTCACACAGATCAGGGTATGGCCTTTGAGAAATTTTTGTTAGAAATATATCATTTGTACATCTCCACAAAAACAGGGTCCTACTATAGACGACCTGACACAAGATAACAAAAACGCTTGCAGACAAAGGCGCGCCGATGAATCGAGCGCGAGAAATTCGAAAAACAGCTGTTTCCGCATTCGTGGAGGGGAAGTTTTCTATAGTTTTGTATTTTTTTTCAGGAAAGTGCCAATTGGCTATTCAAACAGGTGTTTGGTTGTCAACCTCATATGGTAAGTAGGGATGGAGCATTTGCTCCTTTCTCTGCTTACCATATGAGATAGGCAACCAAACCTCCTTGAATAGTCAGCTACTTCTGCCTGAAAAAGAAAAGAAATATAAAGAAAAACTATGAAGAAACTTATCTACTACCCTTCAAGGCTGCGGAAACAGCTAATTTTCAAATTTGCTACGCTCTAAACTACAAGAAAAATATGCGGAGTCGCAGTGGCAATCCGAAAAGAGAAACATACCATAAGAATCTTCATAAAAAATATATCCCAAATCCGTTTTCCATATCTGCTGAACGACACTCTGGGAGGAGCTGCATGAGTTTTTCCTGCTCATTGGTGGCTAGGAGAATGGAGACTACATCGCAAATCCTGTGGATAGTACAATGGTAGACCTTGCTTACCAAACTTTCCAGATTCGAATCCCACTAGATCCCTTTGTTTTTTTTGCATTCTAGTTTTTTAATTGCTGAATATGGTAGAGCAACTTGCTAGATCCATTTTCTTGATTTTTTCAAAAAAAGTAAGCAAAGGTTTTTTAGCAGAAGGTCACTCTGCTGAGCTTAGCTTCTTAAATGTTCAAAATAAAAAAATGTTCTTACAATAAGTACAGCGAATAGAATATACACATCGCACCTATTTAGCTATCATCTCCGAGAGAAAACGTTGCCAGGGTGTTTCGAAAGGAAAAAGATGCCTACCAGAATATGCGTCCATAAGTCAAAAAACAAAAGGCTTTTGAATCTAGATGCAGGGAGCATACAAGTGGCAATAGCTTAATTTTAGGATCTATGTTAAATAAGTAAAACCCAAGACTCTAAAAAATTATAATATGGATGAAGTGATAATGAAGCCATCAAAAAAAACGTGCAGTTCCTTTCAGATTTTCGTTCAGCATATATGGAAAACGGATTTGGGAAATATTTTTGATGAAGATACTTATAGTACACATCTCTTTTCGAATCGCCACTGCGAGTCCGCATCCTTTCCTTGTCAGGATCGGCACGCCGCCCCTTTGCAAGCATTTTTATTACCTTGTGTCAGAAACGACTGAATATACTTAAATATTTGAATTAGGAGGGGCTTGAACCAGTCAATTTACTTGTGGAAGACTCCTACGCAATTCCCCACTACAAGATATTACAAAACTATTTTTGGAAGTATGGGGCCACTTTACAGGTACAATTTCTCATTTTTTTACAATTATCGGTTAAAATTGTATACACTTCCTAGGTAGTAGTAAATAACGCACCTGATCTTCGCGATGCAGCCGCGCGCGAACGCATTCATGCGATGGTGGGCGACTTTGCAACAACGCGGCACTCCATCGGAATGGACGGCGTACAATTCTGGATGAACGACATGGAGTCGTAAGAAGTGGTAGTGCCATCTGATTAGAAAAAGGAGGCATCTTGTGCATTTAGGTACTACCACGACAATCTAGACATGAAAATCATCGATCCAGCATTCTACAGTATGCTGCGACATTGGTTAGCTTCAAAGCACAATAATCCATGGGCTGAGGATTTATATTGGGGTGAAGATGC